TAAAAGCTCCAAACCGACTCTAATTGTCGTATAGGTAGGCTCTTAAATATTGACGGCGATTCCCATTCAATTGCTCAGTTCATAGCACGACATTTCCAACTTCGAATTTTGTTCTCTCTCTTTTTGTTTTTACTTTTTTCGATGACTTTTAAATCCTTGTGGAGGTCACCGATAGAATGGTGTCTAAGTTCGTTGCACCTTACACCAAAGAAAACAATCTGGGTTCTAGCCCAAAATTTTCCTAATTCTGTGCTGAAAATTGGATCTAGTTACTTTTTCATAAGTTTTTCTGGATACTTGGGCACGAAGAATGATTAAATAACTCCATCCCATTGACGAAGATCACAAATTCTAGAAAATGAAATGACCAAATTACCTGCATTAACAGCACATGGTAGAAAAACAACAATGTGTATAAAATATTTTGAATTATATTAATATTTAAATCTTGATTGAGATATTTATAATATTTTTTCTTACCCTCAAAGTTTTTCCTTGTTGAAAAAGGAAATGACCAAATCGCCGAGTGGGTAGTGGACAAAATATAAATATGAGGTGTTAATGAAGCATGCAGTATGCAGTCATGCATGACACCAGCAAAACCGCGGATGTGGAATGCAAATTTCGTTCCACTTTCCATCAAATTGCAGTTTCTTCTTTACATATATATATACTAACTTTTTTTATTTAAAAAATTATGTTAAATTTTAATTAATTAAAAATTAAATTATGTTATACCTTTTAAAAAAATATTCTCAATACTTATTTTTTTATTTATAAAAATTAAACTTCAAATTTTACTTAAAAAATTAAGTTTTATTTACTTGAACCAATATATTATTATTCCAAATTGCAGTTTCTTATTCCATGTTTCTTTCACTTCGTTGGATTCCAGTTTTAATTAGGACTAAAATTCAACGGTTAAATCCCAGAGGAATTGCCTTCCAACCAATGGGTGATGAGTCGCTTTTTTTACTTCAAACTTATAAACCTTCATGTCGGACTTAATTCTTCTGGTTTAGCTTTTAATTAAAATTTAATTAGATAATTTTGGTGTCAAAATGAAAAGTTTAGGGATCAAAATGGTACTTAAATCTATTAATTTACAATGGAGCACAGGTTTAGGTCTACAAGCCGTGCTCAGTCAGAATTTTAATTAGAGTTTGAGCAAGATCACATGAAAAGGGTAAGCATTTTCAAGTATAGGTCTGGTATAAAATATATTGAATATTTGATTTGAAAATATTTTGTATGACATTTTAGACTTGGTATTTACCTAGATATTTAAAGGCCTATATTTGATACTTATCTTGCAGTTATATACTTATGTTTTGTT